TATTATATTATGCTATATTATATAATTATTATATCATATTATATTAAATAATTATTATATTATATAATATTATATAATATTATATAATATTATATTATATTATATTATATTATATTATATTATATTATATTATATTATATTTAGGTCTACCCATTTTTTTTATTTGTCTACCTGGTACCAGCGTTACAACAGAGTGAATACCCATATACTTTGCATTTTTATCAACACAACATGTATAAAATGTTGTCATATTTACATTAACAGTTAAATACCAAATAAATTAATTATATTTCAATTAATTAAATAAGTTACACAACAGACGACACGGTGGCGCAGTAGGTAGTGCTATCGCCTCATAGCAAGAAGGTCGCTGGTTTGAGCCTCGGCTGGGTCAGTTGGCGTTTCTGTGTCGAGTTTGTATGTTCTCCTCATGTTTGCTTGGGTTTCCTCCGGGTGGTCCAGTTTCCCCCAGAGTCCAAAGACATGCGGTACAGGTGAATTGGTTAGGCTAAATTGTCCGAGTGTGAATGAGTTTGTATGGATGTTTCCTAGAGATGGGTTGCAACTGAAAGGGCATCTGCTGCATAAAACATATGCTGGATAAGTTGGCGGTTCATTCCGCTATGGCGACCCCAGATTAATCAAGGGACTAAGCCAAAAAAAAATTAATGAATAAAGTTACACAATAGTGTTACTGTATGCACGCTCATGTTGTTTGAAATGGTATCCAAATACCATCAGATTCTTCATTAAATATTTTAGGTTGTCATTTTACGCTGTAATTTATGGCATAATAGTAACAAGATGCATTTTGGAATGTAGTTATTTAAAAAACCAGTGCAATATCTAATATGGCAATGTATTTTTTTTCATTCAAAATTGCATTCTTTATGACTTATGTGCAAAGTTTTGTACGAAGTGAAAATGAAATTCTATAATTTACATTTGCAATTTCCAAACAAAGTTTTATGCAAATCACATCCTAATTTAAATGCTTTGATTATTTTTTTAAAGATGACATATTATGCAAAAATCACTTTTTAAACGGGTTTTAACACAGCTTTGTGGCAAGAGTCTGTATATATAAGCAGTTTCTAATTGTAAAAGTTTATTAATTTTAGATTTTATAATCACACTTGATAAAAACAGACAGCAGAAACACTTTGATTGACATTCTCGCTTTGTACGTGTCATCAGAGGAGGAAAGCCCCGCCCATTAGTGATGATCTCTTCCTAATTAGCATAGGACATTAGTCTTGTTTTTGAGCCACTATGCTGACACACAGGTATTTGAAGCTCTGCCCTCTTCTAAAAATCTCATTTGAATTTAAAGCGACAGTCACCAAAATGCCACAATTGGGATCAAACCTAAAAGGGGCAGATTTAAAGATTTAAAGAGTTATAAAACAACATTTCTGTGGTACTTTGAGCTGAAACTTCACATACACACTCTAGGGATATCAAAGAGTTATTCTACATCTTATAAAAAGAGGATTAATAGGTTCACTTTAAGTTGCAAATTAAATTTTAATGTGACGTACAAGTAGAAATGGTAGCATTTAAATGTTTGCTCTAATTGCATAAAGAAGGAAAAGTAGGATTGCATTCATTACAATGCTGTGGGATGTTTGTAGCCAAATTCAATATGTATTTCAAAATGCATTGTGAGCCAATAAGCAAAACTAACCACACGAGGGCGCAACTATCCTACGTTCTGAATTAAAAAACAATCACATTTTTTAGTCTTAATTAACTAAACTGCCTTTTGTGTACTGTGAATTGGTGTTTCCCAGTACTGGGTTGCAACCGAAAGGGCATCCGTCGTGTAAAACATATGTCGGAATAGTTGGCGGTTCATTCCGCAGTGGCGGCCCCTGATTTAACAAGAGACTAAGCTGAAGGTAAATGAATGAACTCACAGATGTATTCAAATTAAAATTTATTGAATTGATTCTGTGACAGGCCAAAATGAGGTAAGTGTTCCAACTTACAATCAATGCGTGACAATAATAAACAATTATGAAATGCCACTTATTTTGATCCCGCGGTGAAACTTTAAACAACAGGTGGCTGCTAAGACACAATTCAAACGAAATAAAAATAATATTAAAAATCTAAACGCTTTCCCCACCCCATAATAATCTACAGATATATGACTGGCGAGGGTGTATTTGATAGGCTAATAAAAGAACAAACCTAGGGGCATAACCTGTGGGGTAATAAACTACACTCTTTAAAAATAACAAAACTTCCTGATTTAAGTATTGTGAGGTATTGTGACTGTGGGCAGGAAACAATGAAAGCGTTTCATAACACACATTTAATATAGTGTAATAGCTAGAAAAAGAGGTCAGACGACAGTTAAGGCGACATTAAATATAAACGAGGCAAGACTGCTCATGCAAATATCTGCGAGACAGACACCGTAGGGATAAAGGCCAGGAAAATCAATGACAGTGTAAATGCAAAACAGACAACAGACATGCAGCCACCATGAAAACAAGCTCAACATTTCTTTGATAATAGCAGCAACATGGAAACCGAACGCGATAGCTCTTTTTTCGTTTTTCTTTTTCTTTTTAGCAGCACTGGAACGAAACTTTAAACATTTACACAGAAATAAAGGTACATGGAGATATAAGATAGCACACAAAACACACTGGAAACTAAAGAAAGCGCGAACGTCACACTAATAATGAACAAACACTCGTCGTCAAACTGAGCACAACATGGAGTTCATTTGCATAGATGTGTCACAATGGCACCTTATATTTTAAGTAAACATCTCAGATATCGCAGACCTATGAGTTACTTTAGGTCAAGTGATATAGAAAGAACTGATTTATTAATTCAATTATCAAAAGTGCAAGAACAAACTTACAATGAGCACGGAAATTAGCCATCATGTTTCAAAGTATCTTTTTCTTTTATATATGAAAGGTTCAAGTAGATGACTGGAATTTAAATAAAACAGACTAATAACATAAAGAGATTTGATGTCCTATCTATGCTGTATGGAAGCTAGTTTTTGCCACAGGATAAAACAAATGAAATTGTAGCAAACTATTTATTTGAGTTGAATTTAAGCAAACAAATTAAATTTAGTAATGTTCAGCTTCATTTGTTTGTTTAAATCCAGCCCAAACAAATTGTTTACAATCACTTAATTTAAAATATTTTAGTAAATTCAAGGAATAATTTTTGAATAATGTTTTTCAGTGCATTTTTTTAGAGAATTTTTACAGAATTGCAAGATGAAATATCTAAATTGAGAGATACAAAGTCAGAAGTGCAAGAAGTACACTTCTGAGAATTAAAAAAAGTCTAAAAAAATAATATAAACTCAGAAACTGCAAGAAAAACAGTAAAAATTGCAGGAAATCCTTTACTTAATCCTAAATTCTATATTTTTAGTTTATAGTTCTGAAAAAAGGAAGTGTCCTAAATATAACCCTAGAATTGTGATCAAAATATTTGCACTTTTAATTAATATCTTTTCATTTAATTGATAGAATTGTGATTTGCTTTCTCACAAGCGTGAGTTTATGAACTAGAAATAGACACAATTGCAAGATACAAAGTCGCATTTTATAAAAACAAAATACTACATACTATGAATCAATTATTAAGCATTAACAAATAGTGAATTCATTATTTGTTAAGCATTCTCTATACATTAATAGATGTTAGCAAGCAGATACAAATGCTCAATTCTTGACCTATAAAAATTATTTTATACTTTGTTATTGATCCATTTTTTATTGCATCATTTACAAAACATTTGCATTTAAGAGTAGTTGAAAGTTTTAAAGATCATTCAGAATGAGTCAGCAGATGATTAATAAACTACTCAAATCAACATCTTATCACATTTATGTACATACATAATGTGCTTAATGATTGTATTTTCATGCTTTCTTAATTATTATTTTTTCATTACTAAATTAAGTATTGCATCATTTATAAGCCAGTCATTTGAGAGCAGTTGCTGGTTTTCAAAAATTATTTAAAGATTAATGTACAAGTAAATGAGTAATAAACTATTCAAATTAACATTTATATATCTTAGTATTCAGCCATATACACTAATAGTTCATTTATATGTTATTAAATGCTTTATTAACGCAACCAGTTTTGTGACCTAAAAGTGAGGAATATTCATGCTTTATAAATACCTAATACATGACAATTAAAGGCTTAGTATCAAGTGAACAATACCTCTTTGCAATCTTATCTAAAAAGTAAAACTACTGTAAAGTTTAAACATTTCCGAATAAAAGGAGTGTCAAAACACAACATAAAATTGGAAATAATAATTATACAAAATATAATATGATGCAATGTTATTTAGCAATGTTTAATCTAAAGTGATTTTATTTTAGTTAAGATTGCAAAGATTTATTTTTAATTTAATACTGTTTTATTTGTGTATCTTCGAATAAATAGAAATGAATGAAGTTGTTTATTTTCTGTTTACAATATAACAGAGCCTTTAATTGTATCATAATTGTATAATATATTGTTAAATTATTGTAAAATTAATATATTGTTGTTGTTTTATCCAATTTTATATTATGTGTTGACACTCGTTTCATTGGGAAACGTTTTAACTTTACAGTCATTTAACTTTTTTAGATAAGATCGCAAAGATGTATTGCTCATTTGATATTGAGAATTTAATTGTCATCTATTAGGGATTTATAAAGCATAACTAGTCCTCGCTTTAGATTAGTTTAGATTGTAAGTTAAGTAAATGAAGCATTTACTAACATACAAATGAACTATTAGTATATGCCTGAATATTAAGATATATAAATGTTAATTTGGTTAGTTTATTAATCATTTACTTACGCATTAATCTTTAAAAACCTGCAACTTCTCTCAAATTACATTTATAAATGATGCAACACTTAATTTAGTCATGAAAAAATAATAATTAACAAAGCATAGAATTATTAAGCACATTATCTATGTGCTTATAAGTCAATAATAAAGCATTTGTATCAGTAGTTATAAACTGCTTACTAGCATATGTTAATGTGTAGAGTTATGCTTAACAGATAATGAATTCACTATTTGCTAATGCTTATTAAATGACTCATAGTGTGTAGTTAATGTAAAGTTACAGATTTTGACTTGCAATTAATATATTAACAAAAAAAAAGGGATATTTTTTCATCATAAAAAAATCTAAACTGGCAACAAGCTTCCATAATGCTGACATGAATTCAACACAACTAAAAAAAAGAAGAAGAAATAAAAACTAAACTAAGCATGTCAACCCACATCTACGGCAGCTGACAGTTAGATCAGTCGTTTTTGGTTTATATGTATTGCTGTAATATTAACCGACTATAACCCGCAAGCACTCCTAACATGGGAAACCAGCCCCCAAAACAAAAAATAACTTAAAAAGAAAAGACCCTTAGAAATAGTCATCAATCTACCACAAATAGCCAGCGAGAGGTGATATCTGAAAGTGCATTTGCTAAGAAGGAATTTAAGTCTCCCAAATGATTAAATCCCTCCAGCATACATACATAAGACTGTCTCTAACCCAAATATGATGGCGTTCAAACATGAGCAAACAGCACCACTTAATCGTCACAACTATCTGAAAAGACTAAACCTATCCAGGAACCATCTACTAAATCTAAATCACGTGCAAAATCTTTCTGCATTCTTTAATTCAACGCTTTCCTCCCTCGTCTACTTCACCTTTACTCCACCTACACTACATACTTAGTGTCCATCTGAAACTGGTGTGCTCATTAGGCTGGTCACCATGCATGGATAGAAACGGCCTAATATATTCATATATGCGTATGCATGCGATAACATTCGTCTGTAAAATCGTTTCTATGCTATCTGATATCACACATTAGATCACTGTGTTACTGTAATATCTCTATGATAAACTATTTGATCTGACTATTGAGTTATCCTAGTATTATATTTAAAAATAGAAGTACTAATGCATCTTATATAACTAAAATAGAGATTAATCGTGATTAATCGCATGCAAAATAATTGTTTTGACATATATATATATATATATTTATATATAAGTGTATGTGTGCGTGCATTAAATATATACGTATATGTAATACGCACATACATTGTTACACAAAAGGTATTTAAATTAATAATTTGTAACATATGCATATATATTTGGCAACTAAATATAAATAAACATTTTCTCTAATATATGCATGCACGTGTGTATTTATATACGCACAGTACACACACATATATTATGTCAAAACAGACTTTTATTTTGTATGCGGCTAATTTTTTTGCCCAGCACTAGATAAAAAGCCTAATATTCTTAACTACAACAATAGTATGCTGTTCTTCTAATTATTAAACAATATCAATCATTGATATGGCTGCATATGATAGCCAACATAGCTGTTATCTCCTTTAATTACTATAAATTATCACCGCATTACTGAATGAATTATAATTCGAGGTTGAAGTTCAAGTATGTTAAACGCCACCGCCTGCAGTTACCAGACGGCAGCAGCAGCTGGTTTGCTCCTTTACAAAAATATCCTGCGTGTGTGTTTTATTTGATCGTGACAGTCGTGTGGAATTACTTAAATACAGTAATATATTAATAACTGATGCATCTGTTGGATAGGAACAGGAAGTGACATCATAAGTTCACGTCCCGGACGTCTGTGGGGGTGCAGGATAGGTTTTGAGATTGCGTCCCTTTGTTGCTGGCTCTGCCATCCTGCTGCTGTTGCTGATGCTGCTGTTGGCTTTCTTTCAAGCTGTCGGTCAGTAACTGTTCGATCTGCTCTTGACATGACTTCAGGCAGTCCTGGAACAAAGAGAGATACAGTATAAACATAACACATTTCTAAACATAATAGTTTTATAACTCATTTCGAATAACTGATTTATCTTTGCCATGATGACGGCACATAATATTTGACGAGATATTTCTAAAGATATTAGTATTCAAATTAAAGTGACATTTAAAGGCTTAACTAGGTTAATTAGGCAAGTTCAGATAATTAGGCAAGTCATTGTATAATGATGGTTTGTTCTGTAGACTATCAAAAAAATATTGCTTAAGTGGGCTAATAATATTGTCCTTAAAATGGTTATAAAAAGAATATGAGACTTTATAAAACGCCAGAATTACTTCACAAATTTAATCCAAACATTCCTGATCAATGCGTAAAATGCAATGAAGAGATAGGAACTTTATATCTGTCACACAACCAGCGATCGCTTTCCAGGATCGCTGGTTTTCACACGAACTCTCTAAACTACATTTCCGCTTTTCCCAGGACTACATTTTCATACATGCACTGCTCCCAAACACGCACGTCTGTTCAGTCATCTATCCTGATTGCAAACACCAGCTGGACCCTGTTCACAGACTGATTTCACTCCATTCATAAGCCACTCTCTCACGCTACCAGGTTGCCGAGTCTTGTTTGCTTCCTAGTAACGCGTTTCCCTGTCTTGTTTCTCCGTGTCTCGATCCTAGCCTTGTACCTTTGTTATCCTGTTTAGCCGCCTGCCTTTCGACCTTTTGCCTGTTTAACGTGTACGATTCTGGACTGCCTTCACATACCTGTTTGCACCTGATGACCACTGCTTGCCTGAATTTGAATAAAACTGCATATTGGATCTTACCTCCTGTTGTCTCCTGTCACTCCACCCCAGTCGTGGTAACAATATCAATGTTTATGGAAGTGTCTTTTGTTTAAACAATTTTAGGAGAAAACTCTATAAACTTTTTACCTATAGCATTAAAACAGGATATACCCAAATGCCCAAAACTGTGCATTCTAAATATTTGTCCTTCTACAAGCGATTTCACTAGTTCAGATAAGAAACTGTAAACTTTCTGTCTAATACAGGCAAAACTTATAATAGCTCGTTTTTGGAAAAATACAGAAAGCCTGAATTTTGGACAATGGTTGCGGGAACTGTCTTATTGTTTGGCTTTAGAAAAATTAACTAAAAATTAGTCAAGAAAAAACCTGAAAAGCTTTTAAAAATTTGGAATCCCTTTCTAGGTGTCCTGAAGGAAGCTGATACAAATCTTTTCACTGTATAACTCGTATTACCTGCTATTGATATATTGTTGTTTTAGGATGTAACTTTATATTGTATGTGAAAGTACATGCATTTACTAATTTGTTTATATAATTTTTATTATTACTATTCATATATTTCTATTTATTATTTTATTTACTTATTTATCTATTTTTTATATTGTTTTACTTTTCATTTATTATCATGTATGTTATTATCATGCATCATTGTTTTATATGTTTAAATCTGATTTCTGTTGAACATGTTAAAAGCTACTAAAATCAATAAAAACAGTGTTTAAAAAAATGGTTATAAAAAAGTAATAACTGCTTTATTCTAGCCGAAATAAAACAATTAACACTTTCTCCAGAAGAAAAAATATTATCAGATATACTGTGAAAAATTCCTTGCTCTGTTAGGCATGATTTGAAAAATATATGAAAAAGAAAAGAAAATTCCGCGCAGGGCGAATTATATTGACTTTAACTGTATATATTTATATACAGCCTGATATACAAAGAAATTTATCTATTTTACGTTTGTCAATTCAGTGGCTAATTCATGCAAATTTAAACCAGTTCAGTTGTATCAAAATGTAAAATGTTTGGTGTCATGGCACTAAACCCCACCCCTAAACCCAGCCAGCAAATTGTATTAAACTGTAGGCATGAGATCAAAAGAATTCATATGAATAAACTACTAAATCAAAGTTAGGATTTGCTGTAAGATAGCGTTGATATATATACAGTTGAAGTCAGAATTATTAGCGCCCTGTATATTTTTCCCCAATTTCTGGTAAACGGAGAGTTTTTTTCAACACATTTCTAAACATAATAGTTTTAAAGATTTATTTTATCTTTGCCATGATGACAGTACATAATATTTCACTAGCTATTCTTTAAGACACTTCTATACAGCTTAAAGTGACATTTAAAGGCTTAACTAGGTTAATTAGGTTAACTAGGCAGGTTAGGGTAATTAAGGAAGTTATTGTATAACGATGGTTTGTTCTGTAGACTATCGAAAAAATATATAGCTTAAAAGGGCTAATAATTTTGACCTTAAAACAGTTTTAAAAAATTAAAAACTGCTTTTATTCTAGTAGAAATAAAACGAATAAGACTTTTTCCAGAATAAAAAATATTATCAGACATACAGTGAAAATTTCCTTGCTCTGTTAAACATCATTTGAGAAATATATATATATAAAAAAAAAGAAAGTGAAAGTTTTGAGTGAAAGCAAAGTTTTTTGAAGTTTAACACAATGTTTTTCAGTACAATAACAATTTTGCATGACAAATATACAAAGAAAATACAGAATATTTGCAAAAGAATGCAAAACTGTAATTGAACTAAAATGTTTTTGATCAAAGCAATACATCTGCAAGAGAAACAAATGATTTTCAGGGATTACAAAGATTTCTTTAGGGGGTGTTTAGCAATATTTTTGCTTAGGAATGCACTTTCCCTTAACTTTCAAATGTTTTGTGAGCAAACGCACAGTTTCTTTGGCCACTTTTGCAATGCTAATATTTACTAAGAGAATGCAAATTTAACGCCCACAATACTTTTGCAAAAGAAAGCAAGAATATTTAATGAGTGAGCGAGTCATTTAATAAAATACATTTGTAAGAGAAGGCAAAAGTTTTTCAATTGAACAGAAACTGCTGTGATTGAAAGCAATATATTTGCAAACGGTTTTGAGTGAAAGAGGCAACACAATATGTTTGATCAACAATGTAAATATGTTGTGAGGGAATGAAACGTTTCATTGGCGACTTTGCGAAAGAATGCTAAAATTTAAGAGAATGCAGAAAATGTAGAAAACTGCTCTGAAAGAACGCAGCAATGTTGAATGAATAAGCGAGCATGTTTTTGCCAAACGCAATACTTTTGCTTTACAGTTTGTTGCAGGAATATCATACTTCTGGGAAAGATTTGCAAGAGAATGCAAATGGTTTGTGAGCGAGTACAAACCAACAACACAATAACTCTGTGGAGAGCATGCAACATTTAGCAGAAGATCAAAATGTTTTCACAAGAGAATGCAAATGCTTTTCCTTCCCATCCCACATTTCCCATCACCACGTCCCCTAAGGTGCTAAAAGCTGATTTACTCTGAAAGCATTTTAGCTCAACTGTTTCATAATTACAAAAACGTCAAGCAGAGATATGTGGCATGAAAGCAAAAACTCACTGACTTCTTATGTGTGTGACTTTCAGCAGTAATGTGGGGGGTCTGACAAAATAATCCCGAATCGAGCTCTCATCTTTCTTGAGATAATTGAAACCTGACAGACGCTTCTCTCTCTAAACACAACCATTCGGCCACAACAAGCCCTGTTGTCCTGACTACCACAGGCACAGGAAGGAGTAGTTGCTAACAGCGGCATGTGCTGTTTTTTCCAGAACTTAAGATGGAGAGAGAAAAAAAAACTTGACACTTTATATTGAGGAGAAACAAAGAATGTGTTAAAGCTTATGAGTATATGTGAGGAGTTTAAATGGGGCGTTCACTCTCTGGGTTTAACTCAAAAACCTTTTACAGTGAGACTTTCATAACAGCCTGAAGGCAAGATGTGTACGATTGTGTGTGTGTGTGTGTGTGTGTGTGTGTGCGTGTGGCAGTGAGCTTTTATCCACAGATGTGGTAGAAAGGCCTGTGTCTCGCCACAAGTATGCAGCTCTGAAAACACACCACCATCGCTGCAGTGAACACACACAAACACTCATTCATAAAATCACACATATTTCCATTTCCATACAGTCATGCATGAATCTCCTGCGCACACACACACACACACACACTTGTAGGGCACGTCCACTGTTCGTTTATGTACAAAATCGACAGAGATGTTAAAGATTGTACAATCGTTTGATGTATTATCAGTCGCTTAGTCCCTTTATTCATCAGGGATTGCCACAGCAGAATGAACCGCCAATGGATTACTTTACGACTAAACAAATAAACTCAACTGATCCTTGGTTAAACCATACAGTTGAAGTCAGAATTATTAGCCCTGTGAATTATTAATCTTTTTTTAAATATTTCCCAAGTGATGTTTAACAGAGCAAGGAATTTTTCACAGTATTTCCTATAATATTTTTTCTTCTGGAGAAAGGCTTATTTGTTTTATTTCGGCTAGAATAAAAGCAGTTATTAATATTTTTAAAACTATATTAAGGTCAAAATTATTAACGCCCTAATTAAGCATTTTGCAGTACTTTAACCTAATTAACCTAGTGAAATGTCACTTTAAGCCGTATACTAGTGTCTTGAAAAAAATCTAGTCATATATTATTTACTGTCATCAAGGCACAAATAAAAGAAAGCAGTTATTAGAAAACAGCAATTAAATTATGCTTAGAAATGTGTTGAAAAAACTGACTTGAAATGTATATTGAATGGGGATTTGCTGTACAGTCCTTTTACAGTGGGACACTCACCAGCTCAGTGTTGGTGATTTTAGCCAGCAGCTCCATCAGATTGTCGCCCCACAGGCTTTGGTTGCTCTGGCTGGACTGCAGGCCACACACTGCTGCCCCCACACATCCTGTGGCGATCATGGAGGGAGGGTACATGGTAAAGCTATGATCTGAGGAAAAAACAAACACACACACACATCCCGAAACATCAGTGACCTGGTCAGCATATTCCCCAGTAGGGCTGTGCAAAATCACAATACACAGCTGATTATTAGCCCTCCTGTGAAAGTGATGTTTCATAAAGCAAGGACATTTGCATGGCAATTCCTGTAATTAGTTTTCTTCTGGATAAAGTCTTGTTTGTTTTAGTTTTGAATTGGTTTTTCGATTTATTTTTGACTTTTAAAGTCAATATTAAAGGCTTCTTTTAAGAAAGATTTTTTTTCGATTGGCTAAAGAACGAACCATTGTTGTCCAATGACTTGCTTAAACTATTAAGTTTTCCATTTGTATAGTGCTTTAAACAATTATTATTGTTTATTATTGTTAAAGCAGCTTTACAAAAGGCGCACATTATTGCAATACAGTTAAATTGGGACAAGTTAAGTTTATTAGGTGCCATAGTTTTAATAATTTTCAGACCAACCCAACTTTCATTTTCCCGTCTTCTGCCACGCTGTTTAAATAGCAAATCCATTTGCGCCACTTTGTGAACTGATGGGTGTTTCGCTCTAAAAAGGAGGTGTGTTAAGCCGCATTGTTGGCACGTTGCTATTTTGAGAAACTAAAATAGACTAGCTGAAAGCAGGTCTAAAGTCCAGCGCAATATGTGAATATCTTTACAAATGAAAAGAATTAAAGGATTAAAATATATTTTTTTAATTATTATTTTTTACATAAATATAAAAACCACTACCTCCACGCCTTCTTCATCACAAGGGCCTTTTTAAAGCTTATTTATAACAACTTGCTTTTGTATATTGTTATTATTTATCAGTATTATTTATTATATGCTTATTTATATTTGTTTTATTAAAAACAAGCTTAGATTTGCCCACCTGTCAGGTTTTAGACCATATAGGGCATAGCATGTGTGTTTGGATATTACTCAGTTTTTTGAGACACTTCACTATTATTATTCATGTATTCATTTGCTGGAAATTAGAACTGAATTTAGAAATAGTTTTGAAACAAATCTTTGTGCTTAACAAACGAAATTAATTAATTAAAAAAGGGAAGGTGAAAGTAAAGGCCGATTGGAGGAGGCTCATTCTCTCAATCTCGCGCTGCAGATGAGACTGACTCTTAAAGGGAATGAGAGAGTTTATTCTCAAAACATAGTTACAACTCATTAAAAGAATAAGCTCAACCATGTTAGACCATGTGCCGCGGTGCAGAGCGTATTTTTCCATCCTTAAAATAGCAAAAGTGGATTCTGACATGCCCTTAATGCTTTTTTGCCCTTCGCTTTAGACTTTGAGCCTGGATCGTTAAAATAGAGCCCTTAAAGTCAGGGGTGTCCAAACTCGGTCCTGGAGGGCCGGTGCCCTGTAGATTTTAGCTCCAACTTGCCCTAACACACTTGCAAGGATGTTTCTAGAAAGCCTAGTGAGAGCTTGCTTAGCTAACGCATATGTGTCAAATTGGGGTTGGACATAAACTTTGCAGGACACTGTTTGGGCATTCCTGTATTAAGTATTCTCGTGAAATTGCTTTCATATCGCAATATATATCGCGAAATAATCAAATATCGCAATGCAAAATTTTTCCAATATCATGCAGCCATTTTGTATACTGTAGGTGAGGTCTATGTGTACATGTCAATGTAGTGTATTTGTTATAGTAGTATAGTTATATGTAGTTATATTTGTATAAAGTGTGTGTTTTCATTCATCATCTTTGAATTGTTTGAATTGTTTGAACTTAGAGAAATGCTACTATATTGTGATATGTATCATTATATAAGATGACTTATATCTTGATACGAGATTTCAGTCATATCGCCCTTATTCCCCCAAGACATCTCTCACCTGTGAAAAAACAAACAACTTCCCAGGAAACAAGGCAATCTGCGATGTCTGAATGAGGAGATCTTACATCTGTTTTGAATTCCAACACAAACCTTAACCTGCCGTTCACACGCTCTCTCATTTCAGACCTGTTTTAACATCACTACCTCCCTTAAATCCTCCTGTGAATGGAAAGTGAGGAGAGTCTTCCTTCTCCTCCCACTCCTCCTTCCTCCCTCCCTTCATCTCTCAAAGGGCTTTGAGGTTTCCAGGAACTTACTCCCCCTCTTCCTCTGCCTCCAGACCCTGAGAACGGGCCCTCAGTGAGGAAAGCCACTGCTATTCTCCATTAGATGTCCTTCGTTTCATCTGCTTTTTTGGTGTTACCAATACAGTATGTAAATATATGCAAATGACATTTGAATTTATTTGGATTTCACAAAATATATGTCATATTTGCAACATATAATTTAAATACATAGAGTTGAAGTCCAAATTATTCGCCCTCCTGTGAATTTTTCCTCCCTTTTTCAAATATTTCCAAAATGATGTTCAACAGTGCAAGAAAATTTTCACAGTATACATTTTTCCAAAAATTTTGTTATTTTTTATTTTGGCTAGAATGAAGCAGTTTTGAATTTTTTTAAAACCATTTTAAGGTCAATTTGCTTAGCCCCCTTAAGCAATTTTTGTTTTCGAATGTCTACAGAACAAACCTAATTACCCTAGCTAACTCAGGCTCATTATGGATACGTACCCCTATATACATTTCTGGAGAGTGCCAAATGTGTCTCAGGAGCTACGTTTTTTTGCAGGTTTTGTTTTCTTGAATCCACCAGAGGCCGCTGTGTACGCTTTTTGATAAATCAAATTGTCAACCGACTGACCAATCGACTGACCCACCATCCTCCTTGCCTAAACCCAGCCAATAGTGTTTTCAAAAGCACCAATTGACCCAAGCCTACCCATTTCCCTAAACCCAACCGTCAGTTTTAAAATGCAATCCAGAAAAAGAAAAGCTCTTGCCTGATTTTGACCACGTTTTCAGATTTTACTCACATTCTCACCCTGTTATTTACTTGAATATTTGATTGATGTCAACATGGTCAACTTTTCTTTGCGTCTTAACTCTGCCGACGTAAATGGCGAGCTAACTAGACAACTGGTAACAGCAGGAAAGCCTCCACACTGAGGTCAGCTGGTAAGTGTGAAAAGGAACAGCCTCATACCACACTTTAAAAATGAAATGCAACCAAACGTACTTCTGGCTACATAATTTGCGATCTCCAGAAATGTATATAGGGCTACATTTTCAGAATGACCATAACTTGCCTAATTAGCCTAACTGTAACAGTTGGATGCTGAACAACAGAGTTGAGGATCCACACTCAGTTTATAAATAAGAGTAGTCAGACAGGCAATGGCCAAACTGGTAGCAAACAGGTGCATAAAGGTAATCCAAGATTGTAGTAAAAAAACAGGTGAATGCTCGGTACAGGCGGCAAAAAAAACAAGGCAGGGATCAAAACACAGAAAGACTTGACAGGATTAACGCTTCGTGATGCTATAAGATAAAAACAAGACTCAGCAAAGTGTGTGTGTGAATGAGGTGTTTATATAGTCCTTGTAATCTGTCTATGATGAGCTTCCAGGTGTGTGTGCAATCAGGGGGAGAATGGGAACTGGTGTGTGTGTGAAGTGCATGATGGGATATGTAGTGCAGTGAAATGTGATTGTTCTCCAGGAGCCCGCAAGAGCAACAGTTAAGCCTTGAAATGTCACTTTAAGCTGAATACTAGTGTCTTGAAAAATATCTAGTCAAATATTATGTACTGTCATCATGTCAAAGATAAAACAATCAAGCTTTGGAGAGTAGTTATTAAAATTATTGTGTTTAGAAACGTGTTTTTTTTTTCATTAAACAGAATTCAGGAAAAGAAATATACAGGAGGCTAATAATTCTGCAGTCAATTGTATAGGCATATTTGAAATTCCAATGGTTGAAAAAAATATATAATTGAAATGCAATTTTTGCAATATATCGAAGTATATGTTGCATATATTTATTTTATATGTGTGAAATCCAAACCTATATACGAACTCTTATGTCATATATGTCATTTGCATATATTGCCATCTATCAGATTTCAATGTGGGCAGTGTGCTGCTGTTTTCAGATGCTACAGTCATCCCTGAATAAACAGCCTACACTTGAGTGACTGCATCGGCGCAGCAGCTGTGCGCTAAACCGACATTCCTAACTTGAGAAAATTGTTAAACACCAAAAAACATTTGCAAAAGCTCAAAAAAGCTCTTCTCATGTTTGCCTGGCTTGGGTTCAGGCCTCAGCCTCTTGAACAGATGTGGGGCGGCAGAAACACACCCAGTTAAATATACCACGCTTTTATATAGACGCAAATAACAAGGCAGAGCAGCATCATGACACGTTCACATCATGCTTTTCTCATTCGCTTAGCTCTTACCTGTCGCGCAGAGGGCGATGAAGGTTTGCGTGTGCTTGCGGATCAGCGTCAGTCTGTCTTCGTGAAAGGGCAGTTTGTGCAGGATGTGTTCGATAAAGTCCAGAGGAGTGATGGCAGCCAGGTTCCATTTCAATTTACTGAGCACCACCAACTCCCACTCCAACAGAGAGACAGAAACAGAGCAACAGATAATGAATATGAATGAATGAAATGCACAGTGTGTAACAGAGTATATGCAGAAGGTCTTTTAATTTTCAGTCTGGTGAACTGTATACTGTTACAAAATCGAAGCGTTTAAGGTTTGTTTTCTTTAAAAATGAATGAAACAATATATTGTGCAGCCCTAGTGGGTAATTTTGGCCACTAGAGGGCGCGTATTCACAACAAACATTGTGTAGTTTGATGACCCCATAACTGAGCGTGGAATCATGAGAGTGTTCATTACATACTACAGACTCCAGCAGAGATCATGTTCATGATGAGAACTAGTCAACACTTATTATCATGATAGTATAATGCAAAGTAAGACTGAAAGCTGTCAAAGCATTGCTAATCTGTTAAAATCTAAAGAAGCAGCATTATTTTATCTTACTAGATGTGTTTTAGGCTTCGAGGAAATGGAGGATGTGTGATGTCATTAGCATCTCGATAAGATTAAAATAGCTTATTTCTCTGGATTAAGCATTCTTCTTAACTTTTGGGACAATGTAAGTAGATATGTCAGCCAAATATGCAACGCAGTTCCACTGTTTTTTGGACATTTTAATGAACAAAACCGCACATAAAGTGGTTTTAAGCAATTAATGAATAACCTGGGTGCTGATGGGTTTGGTTATCTCAAGGCTGGGAATGATCTTTCATATAAATGCAATCTTACTAGGGATCACATCATATGCTACATGGCACAAGCTGACTTGATTCTGCTGATTCAACAGCCAATGAGATTGCTAGCTCATCATTTAAACAGTTTGGTTTGAAGTGCACTGTAAACTGCTCCAATAATGGCTTGTTTCCACTGAGCAGTATGGTTCAGTAGAGTACAGTACAGTATGGTAAGCAATTATTTCCTTTTCTACTGTCAGACATTGTCAACTGCTACTTTTTTGAGCCCCTAGTTGGTTAACAGAGAATTAATCACTTGCGTATGCAAGCTGCGGAGCACCAGCACAGGAAGTGGCATTTTTAAAGACACAGCCAAAAAATGACACTAAAGCCTCATTCACACTACGAGCGACTCGCAGCAACAAATCGACAAGCAACCGTTCATTTCAATGAAGAATGAGTGATTTCCGTTGACCTAAGTCTACACGAGCGACAGTGATCATTGGTGACCTGGTGGGTGTGCCGAGCGATGCAACAAAGTTGAGAATCCTTCAACTTTATGCAAAAGAAAAGCAACTTTCTTGAGTGACAGCCAATAGGAGCACCAGTAGAGCTCACATGATCCTCTCTCAGCTCTACAAAGTCGCTGCTAGTGTGAATGAGGCATAACAATTCGATGTCGAGGCACAGCTGGTATGTGAAGACCTTCCTGAGTATCACTGGTGAAGGAAAAGAACTGGTGGCATGGTGAAAACCAAATGAAATGAGAACTAAATCTGCTATGTGTCCTTTATTGTTGTTTATCGCTTTCATCTTTGTGCAACAATCACATCAATTGCAACATTCTGAAATACACCATGCTTACCATAAGGGACTGATCAGGTTTACCCATCCCAAAATCATACTGTACCTTACCGTTCAGTGGAAACAAGCCTTAAGAACTCCCCCTAAACCCCTCCACCTCCCCCAGATCCACCTGTCTAAATATGTTGCATGACTTGTGGCCTCATTTACACCTAAGGTTAAGATGAGTTTCCTCTAATCAATCAATCGCACATATATCCACACAGTTCAGCGCATAGATGTGGCTTCAATATGCTCTCGTGTCTGTGTGTCTCTGTTGAACACAACGGCCAGAGATCTGCTCTCATTGGCTGCAGCTTGTCACTATAGTATAGTCGGCCGACTGCTCTGGATTATTTAGCATGCTAGATATTGGATTGTCGACTGCAAGATAATAGCAACAAATCAGCAAATCTCCTAGTTGGGTCATTCAGTAGTTCACATACACCGACCACTGAGCGCCGAGCAAATGCAGATTTCCCCCCGATCTGTTGGCAAGCTTGTTAACTTGCAAATTAGGCTGTAGTATGAACTAGGCATTACTTGCCTGCTATTAACCTAATGTGACTATTATGCAGAACCAAAAGTGCACATTATGCACAAAGGCACACATAGGAAAGTGCACCAAAACAAAGTATTCATACTTTGCTGTTTTATACAAAAATCAAAAGGCTGTCCTGTTTCAGTTATTCAATAAATCACATCAGAGAAAGTGATGTGAAACAAATTTTAAAACTAGGAGTAAATGATAATAAATCTAAGCTGATTGTGTCGTATGTCTAATAAGATACTATATGATAAAAACTCCATGGTGCATGAATACTGTAGTCATTCAGCACCATAGTATCCATGTTTGCTGTAGTTTTTAAGCTAAATTCTTGACTGCTGTTGGTTTTACTGCACCCTAATGTTTCAAATATACAACAGCAGTCTTCAGTGGTAGAACATAATTATACGCCGCCACACTTAACTCTAACTTGAACAAAGTAAAAAAATGCAAAGTACTTAAATGAGTTATGACATAAATCACCAAGCTCAGGCATTTAAATAGTCTAGTTCGGTTATTGTCACACATTCTCTAGCTTGCGGTTCTTCCAGGATGACTCAATCTGCTCTTTAAATATGGATGTTTCTTGTCAAAGTGACATCATAGACGATAGAAATGAATCAGGTGATCATGTTTAGCCCCGCCCCTTGTCTTTGATCTCCACTAACCAGATGCAGCGTTCAATGCACACGCTCAGCTTCCTTCCTTACACATGCCCGGCCGGCTTCGTTTCATCTGCTGAAGCTGCTTTCTGAGAAACTCTCTGAGACGTGAGGGGAAAAGCAGCCCAAAGTGACATGCACTTCACCTGCATAAAAGCTCTCGAAAAATGGAGAGTCCCTGATAAACCATCACCAAATCACAAAGGTTAAGACTCCTCGACCTCCTTACTGATGCTGAAACATCTGCTGTACTAAACTTGCAAAAGCAATTTAAGGTTTGTTTTGACCGAGTGGTCTAAAGATATCTTCCATCCAGTTCTCGGTCTCTAAAACGCATCTAAACTCTCATGAGATCACTTCTCTTGAGGCATCAACAGGTTTTAAACAGCTCAGCTCATATGTGATTAATATATAGACAGTGATGGAAGACAATAATGCAAGTACACTCTCAGAAACAAAGATTTCAAGTGTTTTTTTGGTAGTGCTCCAATAGATTGATTTCCAAAAGAACATACTGTGAACATTTCATAAAATAATACTTTTAATCATTGCATAGAAAAAAAGCCTTTTACACTATTAAGACCTTTTAGTGAAGGGTTTATAGATGGGTTATATGGCATATGAAGACTCTAGAACTATGAAGGCTCATAATAAAATCACAGATTCCAATTGGAAAGTGTATTGGGAAATGTTCAATATCAGTGATCAGATATCCTTCAGTCCATCCACAAAGGAAAAAAATCCCCAGAGCATTTCATCTATGCTCAACCCAAAACATCTAACAGCCATTAGCGGGAAAAGCAATTCTAGACATATCTAAAAATTGGCTTCCGAAACAATTAAATCTAATTCGAATGCTTAATAAAAGTATAATGAAACTACACTGTAAAAATGATATGATCAATTAGTCATGACAGCATATGAGCAATTCCAGCATTATGGATGTGACATATGCTGTAAAAATTCACATAGAAAGCATATGTTAACATTATATTGTAACTTTTGTTAATATTATCCAGGAACAACTTACCACAGAGTTAAGGGAGCGGAAAAATATCAATCTGCAAACATGTTTTGTACTTTAAATGAGGAAAATAAACATGCGTTATGGATGTGACAAAAAAAAGTCAGCGGGTTTACAGTGCAGGGCTCAACAATAAGGACTGCCCGATGGCCCGGGGCCAGCATGTGAGATGCTCAGGACAGTAGACAGGATTGTTACTGGCCCGATTGGGCCACTGATGCCCTGTCACTAAAGTTTAATTTGCCTGTGACTACTTGTCCATGTTTTGTACAGTGTTGTTTTGTACAGTTTGACGTCAGTTTGGCAGCCAAGCCATCTTTTTTTTTTTTTTTTGCAATAAAATGCCTGCACATTTTGCTGCTTTTGTTTGCAAAACAGTTTGAATTTTGCTCATTGTACATTTATTAAATTTTTTTAAATATTTAAATTCTACATTTACAAATATTTTGACACATTTTTCAGTTTTTTAATTTGTGGCTAAGAAATAGCTATTAACATTTTTTTAGTAGGGACAGTGAAAACATTGGCAGGGCAAGTAAAAATCTGAACCACTAGTCCGATCAGGCCAGTAGAAAAAATCCTTAGCGTTGAACCCTGCATTGTACAATATACTTTATAGAAATTCTGTGAATTGAACTGCACACCCCAAAAGAAACAATGATAATCAAAAGGAGAAGAGTTGGCTCTCTATAAAACAAAAATGATTGATTTAATTTTAGAATATTTTCACATTTATGAGGGAAAAGTGTCGTTATGTATGTGACAGATGTGAAATAGCCACTTGTGTGTCTTTGATAAATCAAATAGAATAGCTTGAAAACATAAACAGATGCATTTTTGAGTATTTTTAAAGTACTGTTAAATACTTGCTTACCCAAAAAACCCAGAAACAGTTTCCGTATTTTGGTGAAAACTATTTTTTCATGGCAAGGTTGACATTTGCATGGAATTGCTCATTTGTTTTTAGTTCATTGTAACTCATTAAACTATGTTAATCATGTTCTAACTTTATAAGTTATTTTTTATAAGTTTTATAAGTTACATGAGCTGTTTTAAGTCAGTTTAACAATTTAAGTTCAATGGACTCATAAGGTTAGTTTGAGTCAGCTTAAAAAATTTAAGGCAACCATGATTTTTTACAGTGTTGGGCTACACTGTATGCAATACAGATCACATAATGCAATCTGAGGTTTAAATAATACATCATTAGACATATAGAAGATGTCCTGCTGTCATCTTACCAGCAGTTGTTGAGATGTAATGGAGTTGTCTGTGTACATGCAGAGCTTCCTGGCCGACAGCGGCTGGCATGCTTTTAATTTTGAAGCTAGGAAGAGACAAACAGCTCCTAAGAGCTGCAAATAACATTTTCTCGTAGGAACTGCAGCTAAAAATCTGTCCAGGTAGTTCATAGCCAACGGAAAAACGTCATCTTCACATTTCTCCTCTTCACACACCTAAGGGGACAAAGACAGAATTAATTGACAAGTGCTTAGTGTGTTGCAATGTAATCTTGCATGCAAGTCAAGCAGCCATTCAAGTTCTTTTTATATTTAATTTATGCTTCACTATATAAAGGATTATTATTATTATTATTATTACTGTGCTTATTGTAAGCTACATATTACTTTTACAATATGTGCAATTGGGTCTTGGTGTGGCCTTTTTAATGAGAAAGAGGAACTGATTGAGATCTCATTCATTTCAAGCAGGGTGTGCTGTGAAAACCGTGACGCCCACTCATGAGTGCTTTGGTGATTCGTCACGTTAAAAAAAACATATGATCAAACACTCAGTAATGTAAATGACAGCATATGACAAGCTTACATGTCTCTCTAATCAAACAATATCCGCTCGTTATTGTTTTTGTTTTTATAACCTGTGGTTCATTTTAATTCAACGACTCTCACATGGCTCCACTTTCGCCCCAACTCAAAGTCTGCATCCGTTCATAAATTCGCCAAAATTACACAAATGCATAAAACCATCTGAAATGTGTATGTAAATAAAGCACAGACACTCATGTGTCCACTGAAGCAGGCACGGAGTGAAAATTTTGCAGTTAACTTAAATTAACAGTCAATTCTGTGGAGGTTTCCGCCATTGTATTTCCTGATCAAACTTTAGGCAGCTATATTTGCCTATCGATTAACATGCTAAACATATGCTATGCACAGAGATGTGGGTAATATTTAACTGTGTAATTTACAATTCAACGTGCTAGAGTCCGGTGCTATAGGTAATAACGTGCTAGCATAGCCTACATTACATAATACTTTCAGTATATACGGTTCGACTAAACATTTTCAAGATATAAAACTACAACTACAAACCTCCAGCATCCACGTCGCAACCATTTTCCTCATAAAAGGTTGAATATCCTTCTGGACACATTTAAAATAAGGTCCCTGCGGAACGTATCTGTCTTCCACTGTTAGAAGACTTTGCAATACTCGTTCATCGCAGAAGATGTTGGGATCTTTCTGAGCTCGCACGACTGTGTCCTTTTCCAGACAGAAAAGTTCCATGTTTCTCGGAGTTATAGGCTGTGTAATAACCACTTCACAGTGCCAGCTGCATGTGGCTGTGCCTAGATGCGAAAAGGACGATGAGATCGTTGCCTTAGGCATCAATGGAAACTCGTCTGCACCATTAAAACTTTCACTTTTTACATCACGAAGGCTGCAGGCTTCCACGCATGTGTCCTTCTTTCTGAACTACAGACACATGAAGCAGATCAACTCCTCTGCATGACCACCCAAAGGCTCTGTCGGTCCCTCCTCCTGCTGAATTCACGTTGCAAAAATGCTCAAATTCTCTCCTTCCTGTGCCCAGTCATGGTACATGCATGCATTTGCATGGTTATTTTATTAAAACGCTAATCAACACTCCTGAAAATACATTTAGCGAGCTTCGCAACAGCTCCCGTAGATTTTTTTTACATGCATGCATGACACATGATATACATGATTTTTTTTTCTGATTATTTCCCCTCACGTGCAGATGCACATGTTCAGAGAAACCATTTTTCTTTTTAGTCCTTCTTTTCTGTGTGAGTACTCATATTTAATGCACAAACACTGCAGTGTATTTGAAATATTACATAGTAAAGTACTTGAATGTATCTGTTGCTGTGGTAATACAACTATAAACAAATGACTCAATACTACAAGACAGTTGTAAACTCTAATACAAGTGTTGTAAATGCTGTATAAAATACAATTTCAAAGACATTATGTGTAGAGATTACTTAAACACTATAGTTTTTAGTATTTACGTTGACTGACTAAATGTGGTAAATACTAGCTTCATTGTCTTACTATAGAGCTCTAATTCATCCATTAAAATTGATTAAAGTACATACATTATACTAGTTCATACATTCGAAAATAACATGATTGCCTTCCTTTTAAAAGATGCATTGAATTAAGCGCGAGTCATTTTAACTAAAGTTACATCAAAAAATGCTTGGTGTATTGCTCTATTGCATATGTTCAGAGTTAACCAGTGTTTCATTCATTCATTCATTCATTCATTCGTTCAAGGGCGTAGATTCGCTTGTGACATTGGTGGGGACAAATAAAGCACATGCATTGAAGAGCACAAATTCTGTTATGTGCTTTTAAAAACATGATTGAAGTACCACTAATAATAAAATAAACACGTAACAATACAATAGCACTCCAGTCCCATGCTACAAAAGTCAATTTACATGATTTTACTGCAGTTGGGCTTTGAGGAAGTATGAATCCCAGGTAGCAAAGCATTCTGGCCCAGATTTGACATTCATCCGGCATTGGCATACAGCATGAGGGCCAAACATGGCTCGGGTTTGGAAGAGGAAGCAACGTCTTTAAGGCAGCACACAAGACTTGGACGAGACATCAAATGTATATGTGGGCCACGTAAGTTTGACCCACTTTTAAAATACATTTAAATTATTTTTGAGTAAAGAAAAAAAATTTACCAATCGGGCCGCTTTGAGAAAAAGCGTGGCCATAAAACAAATTGCTTAATGGGTTTATCAAAATAATTGCAGACCTGACACACTTAACATATCTGGCCCAGTTCAGGCTCAGTTATGACTTATTAACTTGGTTGAGACTTGGCCCATGGTTCAAGTTTGTCCTTTGTCTGGAAGCCAGACTTGATCCAGTCATGTACCGTAATTCACTGCGACATGTGGGCCAAGCAAAAGCTGATTGTGTGGACCAGATATAATTTGCTATGTGGGATGTAGAGAAACTTTTAGAGGTGTGTAATGCAATTTAACTGTTTTATCCCGATTATTGTTTTTCATAATCAAGGAAACCAAAATCTTATTTTATTTAAATTAGTTGCACTCTCTTGGTTAACAGTATTAAACGGTGAACTAGTAGCGAATTTGACTTGGTGCACATGAAAGTTAAAAGTTGAATAGGATTACTTTAGTTTGAAGTCGATTAAATTATTGGTTGGGTAATTTCAGTAATTAGTGGATAATGGTGGGGACACGTCCACTCCGCCCATACCAATTCCACCCCCATTGCGTTTATTTATTCATTTAATTTCTTTTCGGCCTTATGCCTTTATTAATCTGGGGTCACCACAACGAAATGAACCGCCAACTTATCCAGCATCTGTTTTATGCAGCGGATGCCCTTCCAGCCACAGCAATCACTGGGAAACATCCATACACACTCATTCACACTCATAAACTATACAGACAATTTTTTTAGCCTACCCAATTCACCTATAGCGCATGTCTTGGACTTGTGGGGGAAACCGGAGCACCCGGAGGAAACCCACGCGAACATGTGGAGAACATGCAAACTCCACATAGAAATGCAAACTGGTCCAGCTGGGACTCAATCTAGGTACCTTTTTGCTGCGAGGCGACAGTACTGCCTACTGCGCCAGTGCCACCATTGTTTTAACCAAATTGAATTGCAAACAGATTATAAAGCACAAGAGGTAACACTAAAGTAAATCTCAATAGTAAATCTTGGTTAATGGATTAAATCAACAGTAGGAAAATTATTTAATTACACTGTTAATATTATTTAAAGAAGAATGATTGTGATTTTCAAACAGCTTACAAGTGTTTGTTATTATGCATTAAACTAACATCACTTAAGATTAATAAAAGCTATCATTGTGAGTTTAGTAATCAACTCTTATTAATTTTAAACACTACCTGACAAAAGTATTAGAGCTTACTGACTGAATCTGGTAATAAATAGCTTTAAAGTTTTACTATAGAGTTCTAATCCGTACATTAAAACTGATTAAAATTAATCCATTATGCAGTTCTAAATCACACATACAAAAACAACACGATTGCCTTCGTTTTTAAGGCTGAAATTAATTAAACGTGAGTCATTTTAAATAAAATTACATCAAACTAGCAGAACTGGGAACATAATTATCCTTTAATCCTGCTGTTTTATGTTACAATTAACATAAAAAAAAAACATATGTTGTTTTGACATATTGCTCATGCAATCCTTTGCAGGGTGCACCATGGACATACTCATAAAACATACTAACTTCAATGACAAAGTGACTGACAAAGTTAAAACTGCACACACAAGGTTTAATGAAAGAGAGCCCTCGAAAGAGGAAGTGACAGGTTGTGCTTCGTGTTACATAGCAGTGTAAAAATAGCCAATAAGACAGCACTTGTATAGGATAGAGGACGTCATTATATCCAGAAACAAGTTTTCAACCTGAAACCGTCATCCATAAAAGCATTGTACCTGTCTGTCTTTCTCCGTATATACAACAGATGTTAGTTAAAATAACTTATGAATTTACCATGTGTTGCAGCTCCGAGAGATGAGACCGCGATTAAATGATGGACTGCCAACCCACAAACCAACACACACATATGCATTAATTATTTGATCATAACCGTCTGTGACAGGTGATGAGGGTGAAAGTCTGTTGTGCAATATGGAGGAACACCCTCTTTATTCACATCAATAGCGTGTCTTTTGTGTTTATGTTAGAGTTTGTCTGAACTATAAGCTGGAAATGAAGCGCAACCATACTGAGAGTGGACATAATGGTGCACTAGATGTGGAGATAGCTTTTGTCTGACATGTTTGATTCATGTAAAGTCTCTCTTTTTTGTAGATGAAGTCAATTTATGATGATGTATTTTCTTGTTGCATTGTTCACTATTTTTGTACTCTGTATTTAACTGTAATATGACCTATTTTTTACTGTTGCACACTAATGCAGTATGTTACTGTATTTTAAAGTTGCATTCTTAAAATTACTGTACACTTTACAGTAAAGTTAAAGCTAAAATTCTGTAGTCACATACAGCTGAAGTCAGAATTACTAGCCCCCCTTAGATTTTTTTTTCTTTTTTAAATATTTCCCAAATGATGTTTAACATGGTAAGGAAATTTTCACAGTATGTCTGATAATATTTTTTCTTCAGGAGAAAGTCTTATTTGTTTTATTTTGGCTACAATAAAAGCAATTATTAATTTTTAAACACCATTTTAAGGTCAAAATTATTCACCCCCTTAAGCTATTTTGTTTTTCGATACAGAACTAACCATCATTATACACTGACTTGCCTAATTACCCTAACCTGCCTAGTTAACCTAATTAACCTAGTTAAGCCTTTAAATGTCACTTTAAGCTGTGTAAAAGTGTCTTAAAATATATCTAGTCAAATATTATTTACTGTCACCATGGCAAAGATAAAATAAATCTGTTTTTAAAGCTACACTGTAAAAAAAAAATCTTGTAAAATTCACAGTAAAAAACTAGCAGCTGTGATTACCAGAAGTCTACCATTAAAATATGGTAGAGATGTTTTCAGTTTACGGTATTATTAAGAGAACTGCAAAAGCCATTAAAATAAAGACTGATAAATATATATTTTTGCAGATAGCATTAAGAGAATGCAACGTGTTCTATTATTATGACCACCAGGCTAAAATGAAGTCAATACCTTTGAAACATCATAAATTAAAATTTAATATAAATTTTAAATATAATTTCATGACACTAGTTTACCTATTCATTCAGTAACAACTGAGTATTTGAAAACACTTCCAGTTAGACCCTGTCTAAATCTGAAGGAGCTCTTGATTATACTAATAATACTATGCAATAATAATAATCAAAATAATATAAAGATTTAATAATCATGCAATTAAATTCTTAAATACATCCATATAAATGCACACATATTCCTGTAGATCATATCATTGTGATTAAAAAAAAACAAGAAAAAATGGTTTTAACAGTATACATCTGCATAAAAAAATACAGCGGCTCACTTTTTAGTGTTTCTTTGAATTTAACCGTTGTTTTAAGAGTTGATACGGTAAAATAATGTAACTTTAGCAAATCAATAATGCACAAAGTACCAAATTTTTTAAAGTCAAAAGTCAAAGTCAGCTTTATTGTCAATTCAGCCACATGTACAGGACATATAAACAATCGAAATTACGTTACTCCAAGTGCCTAACATATAATATTCATATAAAAAGCAGAGTTTTAAGAAAAAGAAAATTTACAATATATACAATCGTACATAAAATGTGGTCTAAAATATACAAAAGGAATAAAAATTTGTAAACAATGCAATGACATTAAGGCCGTACTCACACTAGGTACAGTTGCCTCGAACCGGGCCAAAGCACGCTTGTCCCCCCTCCCGTCTCCCCCGACGGCCCGCGCTCACACCACAAATGGGCTTCGGCACGCTTACGTCATCGCTGCTAGGCTGTTCAGTGAGAAGCACTCTCTAACTCAGCACAACAGTGGAGATTTCTCTAGTTATATTGTTTCAG